AATAATCAATTAATGAATATTAAAAACTAGTCTGTAATCGATAGCGCAGTAGTAATACCTTGATTGTAATTTAGGGGTGGTTCAAGGTAGATAATTAGAAGTTAGGATCGAGTTTATTGAGATCACTCTCTCTCCTCCCCCCTCTCTCTATCTCTCTCTCTATCTCTTTCTCTGCGCTGAATCTTATACTTCCAACTTACTAATAAATTACGAAAAAAACAGAGTACAGAAAATTAAAATCGATTACTACGATCTGACTTATGTACTTTATATCCTTGCGCACTGCAAATTTAGTACACGAGTAATTTTTGCACAGGAATTATGACTTGTCCTTGAAAAATGGTATTTTCGCCGAAATATCAATAAAATCAACACTTTTCATCGCATATAAATTTTGTTGAGATATGTAACAAATTATTGAATGTTAGTGCACTATTTATATTCTCAATTCATGTAATATACATATATCAACATTCAATAATCTGAACGAGAACTTTTTGTAATAACACATTCGACAGAGTACTATACATTTTTCAATAACGAGTTTCTTTTTTGTCAATGCGAACTGTAATCGTGTATTTAATTTGAAGTGATAACCAGCCCACCAGCGATTAAAAAAAAACGAAACAATAAGAATATTAAACTGCTCGGCGAACAGCGCTGGTGAAACGATGCATTTATAACCTTAATATAATAATTTAGCTGCTCTGATGTATTTTAATTAAAACGCCTCGAAAATAGCCTGGTATGATAATAGTAAATTCATATTGAAGAATAAAAATAAACGTTTGTTATACTTCTATACTGGGCTTTTCTTCGAGGCAACGGGTTGCATTGACATGAGATTCCCTGTTAACTGGTGAGAACGTAATCGCCACATTGTAATATTATTATCATTATTACGTTATTATAAAATTGTTGAAATAAATCAAATGAAAATGACTTTTTATGACTTTGTTTATTGTGTTTCTAATGCCTTTATTTATATCTAAAAAGTTAAAAAGATCGAAAGGGAATAATATTTTATTATGGTTCGAAAGGTTGTAAACTTAAAATGAAAACTGTCACGTCTCCAAAATATTGTAATGTTTTTCAGATTACACATCACGCAGCTGAAATGGAATGGTTTATACCACCCAAGCGAGGACTTAATGTATCACTGACTAATGATTCACTATCTCAGAGTTCCCCTACTGAGCTCGCTAAGATAATTTTCTTTGCTATTATAGTTAAAAATAATATTATAAACATAAGATTAACAGCATTGAAGTACACATGTATAATAATAAATAAATTTCTATACAAAGCAAACACTACTTATCTCTAAACCACGCGAAAAATATTATTTATACATTTCGATAATTTCCAAAACAAAAATTCTTTTAAACCTAATTTATGGTCCTAACCTAAATTTTGGTCGCTTAAAATGGATATTTTTATAATGCTTTAGATAAATATATACTAGATACGGTGTGTATAACACCGACTTGAACCGGATTAGGAAGATCCAAAGAATATTAAAATATTAATAAATATATATTTATGATATTTTAGATGGTATTCCTTTGTCTCGACCAGTGATAAATATAAATATTAAATGAGTAGAATTACATCCTTCCATGATTGATATGTGTTTAGTATAAATGATCTTGGGAAGGTGAGTAGAATAAAAAATTCAATGACGATAAATTATTGAATTTTTTATTCTACTCACCTTCCCAAGATCATTTATACAGTTATACTAAACACATATAAATATTAATCGTTAACTCGATGTTAACACGTACCAGAATTTATAACAGTCGAAATGCAAATGCAAATGAAAATGTACATCATCAAGTTGCAAAAATATTTCCATTGTGGAATATGTACATGTTCATATTTATTGTACATTCTTGTAACAGCAATTTCTAAGAAATTTGTATATTACTACAATCCCCACTTGTTTCTTTAAATTAGAAAAAATTCTAAAGTGATGAAACAAAAACGGTGTTCGGATTTTTTTCAATGTGCTAAAATAAGTACACGGAGATAGGTTGTTTCGGGGAAAAGTACATTACACTTTTTTATGCCGCTGTGTTATTGAAGAAGGAGTCAAAGAATGTGTACAAATTTATATTAAATATTTGTTTAATACACAAATATTTTGTTAATATAAATATTAATTTGTTTAAACAAATTTTTCAATATTTAATGTTTGACGTCAAGCATCATTTCTGTAGAGACATTCTTTAATATGCATAATGGACAACAAATTATATTTATAACCGAATAGAACAGATGTACTGAAGTACTTTTATCTCATCTAAATAAATTGTATTATGAACAAAATGTTACTTCACTCTTATGAAGTAGTTTATGAATAGAAAAGCGTTTGCTAAAGATAAGAGAAAAGCAGTCAAATAATCGAAATAAAATTTATAAATTAACTATTCTCCTTTAGTTCACAGTCAGAGGGCTGTGGTCGATTTATTCCAAAACGAATTTGTTTTTAGATATTGTATGAAAGCTTTAATGGGTATATAATAATTATTAGTTCTTTTAGTACATCGCATGTAATTGCTTCTATTATGTATAAACTGTTTTACGAATTTGTTAATTGTAAAAAAAGTTCCTCTCTGCAAACTTTTCACGATATGTACAACGGATGGTTTTGTTATCGACATGGTAAGACCGTTTCTTGCAAATCTAAACGACTCAGAAATGAGTTCTTTTAGGGCGTAGTACGTTCTGCAGTAATATACAGATCATCTTTATCATAACAGAAAAAAAATTAATGACTACCCACATAGCACAATAGTATGAGGTAAGGTTATGTTGAGTACTAATCGTAAGGCACATAAGGTTACACAATATTGCTGCGGTAGACCTGAGGTGAACTAAAAACTTCCGCCATGGAGGTAAGGTTACATGTTAGGGTGTGGTGAGTATATATGATAAGGCCATGGTAACCTTACACGTTAAGGTTAAGGTAACCTTACACGTTAAGGTTGATGTAACCTTACACGTTAAGGTTGAGGTAACGTTACATGTTAAGGTTGAGGTAAGGTTACATGTCAAGGTTGAGGTAAGGTAATTATTAAGTTGTAAGGTTGAGGTAAGGTTGTGATAAATTTACCAGTTATGGAAAATATTGAAAAAATAATTAATAAATAAATATTCAATTAAAAAGTTAGTTTGTTGCTCTTCTCTATTTTGGAAACCTGACATGAAGCAGAAAATTTTAAAAACAAATTTGGGGGGACTGGGATTTGAACCCGGGATCGACGCGCATAAACCTATCATTCTAACTAACTGAGCTAAGTAGAGAACTGGTAGAAGGAAAATTAATATTGCCTTTAAGGAGTTAATCATCTTCTTGGTTCACCTTAAAGGCAACATTAATTTTCCTTCTGCCAGTTCTCTACTTAGCTCAGTTAGTTAGAATGATAGGTTTATGCGCGTCGATCCCGGGTTCGAATCCCAGTCCCCCCAAATTTGTTTTCAAAATTTTCTGCTTTATGTCAGGTTTCCAAAATAGAGAAGAGCAACAAACTTAACTTTCTAATTTAATATTTATTTATTATATTATTAATTATTTTTTCAATATTTTCCATAACTGGTAAACTTATCACAACCTTACCTTAACCTTACAACTTATTAATTACCTTACCTCAACCTTGACATGTAACCTTACCTCAACCTTAACATGTAACGTTACCTCAACCTTAACGTGTAAGGTTACATCAACCTTAACGTGTAAGGTTACCTTAACCTTAACGTGTAAGGTTACCATGGCCTTATCATATATACTCACCACACCCTAACATGTAACCTTACCTCCATGGCGGAAGTTTTTAGTTCACCTCAGGTCTACCGCAGCAATATTGTGTAACCTTATGTGCCTTACGATTAGTACTCAACATAACCTTACCTCATACTATGGTGCTATGTGGGTATACTATAAAACTGTTCAAAGCAGATTTTACAGTAGCCACAACAGATATAATATGTAACATGCCTATTCATTTCGCAATATGAAAATAGATTAAATGCCTTCCCAATTATACAGGGCTTAGTTAAAAAGTAGCCAATTCTTCTAATTTTAAGAATACACATGTACGTATGTCTGTAATTTATTAGATATCCATTTAATCAGTTCATCAATAAAAACAATTCTTTTCATTGCTTTTTAACCAATGACGCAATTAAACGACTGTGGGAGGCCATAAGGTACGACCATTTTCTATAATAATTACAACAGTGAAAATATCTAGAAAAATTTAGAACTTTTAAAATAATATATAAGAGTCAGTGCAGCAAAAATCTTCTAAAGCGTGTTGCAGGAGAATTTTTAAAATAACCTGAGAATTATAATTACTACAACAAATCAATGATTTACATATTAATGACATTACGTATGTTATAAAAAAGAAGAAATTGTTCTGATTTTTATAATATTAGAAGTCTCCCACATAACACATGATCTTCCCGAAAACTCCCAATGAAACCTTTCTAATCTTCCTTTGAATGTTAAATCTGCTAGAAATCTCTATCAGCTCCCTGATGCTTTCAGTAGAATGTTCATTTTCGTTACATTCTGAAATGAACAATAGTTCTCCCAAGCAACACGTAATTATCATTTTGATATATCACTGTAATATTCAGAGTAATATTAAATAACAAAAATCTTTTATTTCTTGGACGCAAATTAAAGTAACAATATATTCAAAATTCCGGCTTAATTTTTTATTTAGAGAAAAGTATTGTTTACTTATTTAACAATTTAAAGTATTTAATAAATAGAATAATTTTTTAAAATTTATTTTGACAAATTTTTATATTTCAGTTTTGGGAAATTACACGGAAAGACAATTGACATATATTGCTATTATTTTTCTTCATGCAGTTAACAAAATTTATATGTTCTTTTTACTGGTAAGATATATTTTTTCTGATTATCTCTATTCTATCCACCTGCTACTGTTTTAGCAATAGACAGAAGCACATTAAGTTCACTGATATTTTAAGTGTATATAATATAAAAAAATTTTAAATTTACATTTTTTAAATTGAAAAAATTTGCCATTATTTCATTTGTAGACTTCTACCACGTCTCACAATATTATTACAAAGCTGTGACAAACGTTGACTAATTTTTCGGTTTGTTCTTGCGTATTAAATGCACACATTATACACTACGACTGTAAGTATATTATTTTCTTTAGAAATATATTTTATTAATCGAAGTGAAAGAGTTCTTGGAAATTTCTCACTTTCTCAAGAGTAACTCTAAAAATTTTTGGTCTTCATTTTTTTTCTCAACCGGGAACGTGTAAGGACTTTCTCGGTAGTATTTCGCGGTCTTATTACCGGAAACTTTTTCACATGGGATTTTTATTGTTTTTTTGGAACATCTTTTGGACCAGATATACAATGTCTTATAAACGTCTTTTACTTGTCGTTATAATGTCTCCAAATTACGTACGCATTCCAAATGAATTTTGAACGAATCAAGACAAGAAGGCATTTTACTTCCGAGGATTTGAAAGACTTTCAGTCTCTGATTTAATCGTTCAATATGCACTCTTGCCGTAGCAATATTGCAATTATTTAATGCTTCAGCTTGGGAGAAATAAAACTTTTGTCTAAGAAACGGTGGTCTGACAATCTTGATGCCGTGCTGAAGACACACACGTTATCTATTAAAAAACCCTTATCCACCATTGGTTTCATAGTATTACTTAATAATTGAATTATCCTACTTTGCTCGAAAATTGCTTTATCGTAAACACGTCCTCCATATGCAAGGCTTACGTAGCTAAGCAGACCACTATAGGTGTACACGCTGTAAGAAATTTTAATGTGAATCTTCCTTTGTACAACGCGTAAGTTAGCAATTGACAACACAAACTTTATGGCTTCTGAATTTCAATTTCCATACAATCCAAAAATAGAGCAACATCTGCATAATCCTTAAAACAAAAAGGAATATTTTTCGAATTTCCTCAATTTGAGGAAAGACAATTGCAAATTTTAAAGCATTCCCTAAAATGACCAAAATATTGTAAATTAGCCAAGTTAACACAAGCTTTACTTGTGCAATTAAACACTAAACAATATCATTTGTTCCTTCTTTTTCTTGGACTGAATTACATTCCCTGAATGTTTTCCTCTTCATTACAATTACTCATTTTTATGTTTCACTTCAAAATAAACAATATTTAAGGATTTAAAACCGAAAATTTAGAATGACACATGTAAACAAACATAAAGTTTTGAATCTGACCTAGGTGTACTGATTTGACAATCTAAAACCAGATAGCGTGTCGCAGTATTTCAGATCTCTATAAAAAAATAATGCTTTGGCTGAATCCCTCACTGGTTTTAATCGTCATGCGCTTAGTGTCACTGGTCCAAGGATGTAGGACCCAGCTAAAAATCCCCCCTACTGAAAAAGAACGACTGTAAATACGAGCGTAAATATGACTGTGAATACGACCCTAAATACGGGCCTTAGAAGGATAGTGTAATTGAAACAGCAAATACAGCCGTATTTATGCCCGTATTTAGGGTCGTATTTACGGTCATATATGAATACCATTTTTTTTAAAAATATATATATATATATATACCACCACAGCACCGAAACTTTCCTAAAAATTTATTGTAATATTGTAAATACTTGTAATATTCGGCATATTTAACTGAAATGTTTAGTGAAAATTGATCTTTACACAACTTTCAATAAACATTGCAATTGGGGCATTCTCCGTCAGATTTTCACTCAAAATTTTTTTTGGATTAAAACAATTTTTTTCGAATTCTATATGAAAAATAAGTAAATACGTGTTTTTTTATTTTTTTATTTGATCAAAATTATAAAAGTTATGATTTTTTTAAATTTAACATCTTCAGAAGCAAAAGATTTTTCTAACACTTTTAACTCCGTTATACCAAAAGATAAAAAATAATGTAATATATGAAAATGACTTGTTTTTTCTTGAATATTTCAAATATGTAATAAAAAATAACTTTAATAAAGCGAAAACATTAAATAAATTGAAATTTCTTCAAAAATGTGACTTTTCTCAAAAGCGAAGTAATTGATTTTCGATTTTTTTCTTCCATTACAACCACTGATAAATATAGAAATTTTTCCCACTTATGCCAAAGTGGTGTTCTTTAGGGTTCAAATTATATTTAAAATTATGTCAGTAGTTGCACAGAGTTTTATTCGATTTTTACACTTTTTAAAAATTTAACCTTCAAAAACAAAAGAAAACGAATGTTTAGTGGTTAATTTCTTAATTTCCTTCTGTAAAATCTGTGCAACGACTGATATAATTTTAAATATAATTTGATCCCTAAAGAACACCACTTTGGCATAAGTGGGAAAAACTTCTTTATTTATCAGTGGTTCTAATGAAAGAAAAAAATCGAAAATCGATTACTTCGCTTTTGAGAAAAGTCACATGTTAGACGAAATTTCAATTTATTTAATGTTTTCGCTTTATTAAAGTTATTTTTTATTACATATTTGAAATATTCAAGAAAAAACAAGTTATTTTCATATATTACATTATTTTTTATCTTTTGGTATAACGGAGTTAAAAGTGTTTCAAAAATCCTTTGCTTCCGAAGATGTTAAATTTAAAAAAATCATAACTTTTATAATTTTGATCAAATAAAAAAATAAAAAAATACGTAATTACTTATTTTTCATATAGAATTCGAAAAAAATTATTTTAATACAAAAAAAATTTTGAGTGAAAATCTGACGGAGAATGCCCCAATTACATATTCCGAACATTGCAAGTAAATATTTAATAAATTTTTAGGAAAGTTTCGGTGCTGTGGGGGTATATATATAATGAAATATCATTAATTATTATAATTAAATATATTAAATATAATATTGCAACTAAAATAAATATTATTTAAGGTAAGTATTGAAATACGATTTATTCTTATAATAAATACATAACAAGCAAATATATAAATGTCACTTTATTTTATTCACAAATACACATATACACATGGTACAATTATTTATTAAAAATTGTAATTTTTATTATTTTTATTATAAGAGAAAAACACTTGTGCACGCACAATAAAAACACTTGTACATTTTGCAACAGCAAAATAAAATCCACAAATCATGCGAATCACATGTACGCACTGTTATAAAAAAGGTTGGGTCTGTAGGGATGGGTAGTTGCACGTAACTTGAAATATTAATACTAAATTTGTTTGTTTTTAAAATAGTGACGTGTAACTACCCATCCCTATAGACCCAACCTTTTTTACAACAGTGCTTACATGTGATTCGCGTCATTTGTGGTTTATACTTATTGACTTGATACTATGTAACTTAAATTTATAATTTTAGTTAACCTGAAGAGGATGACAAACCATGTCATCGAAACGTCGTTAAATAAATGAAATAACACTATTTGTTGTTATTTATCTACCTTCCATTGGATCAAATTTTCCATTTTACAAATAAATAATTCGGAAGGAAATTTTCTATTTCTAATAATATTTATTTTAGTTGCAATATTATATTTAATATATTAAATTATAATAATTAATGATATTTCATTATATATATACCCCCACAGCACCAAAACTTTCCTAAAAATTTATTAAATATTTACTTGCAATGTTCGGAATATGTAATTGCAATGTTTATTAAAAGTTGTGTAAAGAACAATTTTCACTTAACATTTCAGTTAAATATGCCGAATATTACAAGTATTTACAATATTACAATAAATTTTTAGGAAAGTTTCGGTGCTGTGGTGGTATATATATATATATTTTTTAAAAAAATGGTATTCATATATGACCGTAAATACGACCCTAAATACGGGCATAAATACGGCTGTATTTGCTGTTTCAATTACACTATCCTTCTAAGGCCCGTATTTAGGGTCGTATTCACAGTCATATTTACGCTCGTATTTACAGTCGTTCTTTTTCAGTAGGGCCTTTATAGAATCCTTTAGGAATCCTTTAAGTTTCCTGTATAGGAACCATGACGGATTCTTCATGGATCATTTACAGTATCCTACAAAGGATCCTGACAGGATCCGTTGCAGGATATTGGAACAAGTATCCCGTACAGTTTTCAGTGCAGAGACATTAGCTTTCAATGTTTCATATAAGGCGTTCCTATACAGGAGCACTTGCAGGATCCTACACATAACAATTTTTAATTTTTAAGATGCTAAGTAACATTTAGTATGCATATACTAAATATTTCGTTATGCACGGGTCCTAGAACACAGTTGGACAGAAAAATGTACTGCGCTTTCGAAAAACTCATAGAAAACTGGAACCTATGGGATCCTTGTTCCAATATCCTGCAATGGATCCTGGCAAGATCCTATGTAGGGTACTGTATAGGAACCGTGAAGGATCCATCAGTGTTCCTGTAGAGGAACCTTACATGATCCCTGAAGGATCATGTAAGGTAAAATTTCATTTTTTTTAATATTTGTATTTATGGACAGTGTGAGTCATTTTTTTATGCTTGACAACTGATAAAAAATAAATACGGCATATAAATTTAAACCTTTTAGATCACCTGCAAGAAGTTCGAAGTATCACCCCATTCTTTGTTTTTCAATTAGCAGCTGTATATACAAAGATGTTTCTTATTGCATAAAAAAATTGAAAATCGAAAACAGACACGCTTTCAGTATTTTGTTTCGCAATAACCGTGTAAAATACAACTTTGGTTAACCCATTATAAGTCCCATGAAGAAACCAGCCATTGTATTAAAAAACTAACAATTGGATTCATAGCCAAATGGAAAAAAAAGATATACCTGTTTTTTAATTTTGCATTTTCCAACTGTTTAACAACGATAGTTTAAACAAATTAATAAAAATTTAAAATTTTTAGAAAACTGTTAACGCTAATCGATTCTGCGTGAAAAAATAAAAATGTTTTGTATAGGTGATTTTTTTTCTCTAAGTCGTATACTGCTTATAAAATTGTTATAAACAAATTAAGCTGGGTAAAGGGTGTTTTATCCCAAGCATAAACAAATGGATTTTAAGTAAAACTAACAATTGAATTCATAGACAAATTGAAAAAAAAGATATTCCTATTTTTTTGTTTTCAATTTCCAATTGTTTAAACAAATTAATAAAAATTTAAAAATATTTGAAAATTGTTAACGTTAATCGATTGTA